GGTATTGTTTGAAAAATAACATTACTAATTTTCATATGTTTTAAATATTTATACAAAATCTTGAATGAAATAAACAAAATTACCGATTGACTATGGACCCTGACAAATATCTTTGTTGTGGTAGGATAGAAATTTGAAAGGCCGATTCTTATTATCAGGTCCCTTCTATCATTATTGTTTTTATGACTATGTTGCTGAAGAAATCCTCGCTAGGATCAGAAACTAGACGAGAGTCACTACGGCTCCAGAAAACCTCCTTTGAATCAGTGGTGATAAGGATTTTGCGCTTATCATGGCTTGGTTGGAGATAAAGTCTTACAACACTGTGATTACTTCTGATACGAGGTCTTTCACTTCTTCCATGAATGAGAGAGAGTTTTAGAGAACTTCTCAAATTCTAGATAGAGTTAGGGGAGATCAAGATGTTTGTCAGAAATGGAGTTATTACTTAAACTAACCGTCAGTTATGTACAAAATGTTGTCATTTGATTTATGCACTTGCTTTTGTAGTTAAGCATGTACTCGAATTTGGACGGTGGATATCAAAACATAAATCAAAAATATTTTTGAAGGATCTTATTCTTATATGTATTTCTCACACATTCTCGTATTTCACTTATCTTTTGTGAATCGATCACATCTCCAAACATTATCAATAATAGCTCAAAAACATTTGAAAGCTCAAAAATATAACTCATTTTATGTTCAAATTAACCAATCAAATCTTATCTTTAGCGAAAGGATAAAACCTCTCATCCAAAAATAATAATAATTTATTTATGTTAGCATGTCTATAAATTTCAGCGTTGTGGCTTTGTGCACCATTATCTATCGCAAACTTGGTTAGGCAATTAAAACCACTTCCATACAACAGACAGCTTGCTTTAGAGTTTGATTACCCATATTTATTGTCAAATACATAAGACTCGTTCAAGCACCAAAACACATTTCCTGTTGTTTTCGAGTTTATACAAGGATGCTGATTAATATTATATACATAGACATGGCACAGAGGCATAAAACAAAAACAAATGTGAGACATTTGACATGTTCTCAATAATGGATGTAGTTACATACATTATTACATTTTTATTCGAAAAACACATTTCAAACTCTTTATTTACGAGAAATCATTTTGTTTTATTATAATTGTAGTGATTAACTTAATATATTCCACAAGCAATAATATTGGTGTTTCTTCTTCTAGTATCCGTAAGAAGTTCTCCTCATCATCTTCATGAACTCCTCCAAACTAACTTCTCCATCTTCTGTGTAGGTTGCATTAATGACAACAAAATTTAAAAGCATAATCTGATTGCAAATGACTACTTTGGAGAACATATGATTTCACTTACTATCACGATCTGCTTCTTCGATCATTTCTTCTATTTCGTTATCTGTGAAATTTTCTCCTAGCTCTTTCGCAATCTGCTTGATATCATGAGGTGAAATCTTTCCCTAAAATATTCGATAATTTGACAAGTCAAAACACCATGACATAACTCCAAACAAAACAAAAGAATATTAATTAATTAGGAGAAAGATAGGTTTGGATTATAACGTACGTTGTTGTCGTGATCAATGATCTTAAATGCTTTAGACAATTCATCTGTAGAGTCTCGTTCTCCAAATTTAGTTGTCATCATATGCACAAACTCTTCGAAATCTATAGTTCCACTATTGTTTTTATCCACCTCTGCCATCAGTTCGTTTATTTGCTACACATATTAAACAACAAAAATATACAAATAAATAGAATATTATCATATATAGAAAGTGAGAAAACTATAGTTTTCATGGAAAACAAACCTCATTTGTCATCTCAAACCCGAGAGACCTGTAAGCAGATAGATGATGGTAATCTTCTTAGTGCTAACTATATCTCGAAGAAGTAAAAAAAAAAAAAAAAAAAATTGCCACTAACCTCATAGCAACGTTGAGCTCGCGAGCATCGATGCTACCTACATATGAAATAATGATGGACTTACTAAATTGTGTGCTTCTGATTTGGAACGGTGTTAGTCGGATATAAAGAATCGGTTTAATAATAGTTACCTGAACCGTCTATGTCAAATAGATCAAAGATTTCTCTAATCTCTCGTCTCTTTTGATTGGTCAATCCATAAGTCTTCCCTTTAGTTTTCAGACCTCTTCTGAACTGTGCTGCTCCGGACATGAAACTAGCCTGCCGGAAGAAAAAAAAAAACAGAAGAAGCTAAGTTGTTTCTGTATATGAAAGATGAAGAACTAAGGAACAATCATGGGGAAAAAAAACACTAACCATTTCTTGTGTGTTTGATATGATCAGACAAATAGATTTCAATCAATGAAAAGTTTAAGATGGTTTTGATAATTTGGTCTTTGATGAGATAAAGATGACCAGAGAGATGACTAGACTTCTTGTCTGGCTATAAACTCTGTTGAAAGCGATATTAGCCTAAAGACTTTAAATTGTGCACATTTTTGTTACTTCCACTAGTTTTTTAAATAACGATATGTTGGCGCTAAAAACAAAAGCTTCGTTGGTGAGTATATCTCTTCGAATCATATACTACTCATTACAAGTATTTGACAAATAAACGAGTGACACCGCAATTATGTTAACGAGTTGATTTAAGATTAGTAAAACCAGAGACACTTAAACACATAAATATTGTTTTAGTAGTATTACAATGATGTTGATTAGCTATAGTCTTTTACTGATAAAACCTAGAGAACCCCGAAAGCTTCTTTGATAGCGTGTATAACACGGGAAGAAACTTCATCTCCAAACAATCTCGGAAACTGTAAATCCAAATCTTCCTCTATGCTCTTCCTTCTGAAGCTTTTATCTCTTCTCCCCAACTCCAATCTCTCTACTTCTCCCACCACTCTCTTCTCTCCTTCTTCCTCCCTTGCACAACGCTCCAACCAAACCTCAAGAACTTGCTTAGCAGCTGGACTCACATGATCCCTCAAGATCTCCTCCAACTTCTCCTCTTCCTCCGCATCGATTTTAAGCATCGAAGCAGTAGGAGAGAAAGCAGAGCGGACAAAGAGAGAAGGCGAGACATAGGGTTTGATCTCAGGGAGCTTGAGAAGTGACTGGCGATGAGTATCAAGTCCAGTGTCTTGGTAATATGTCTTGAGATAGTCAGGGTGGAGAACTAGGTCTTTGCGATGAGGGAGGTCGAGAATGAGAACAAGCGATGTGGGACTGCTTTGTATTAGTTCGACAACAAAATTTGGAGCATTTGTTGACGAGTTTAGGAATGCAGAGATGCTTGTTATGTTGAGAGACACTCCTGTCGGAATCTTGCAGTGTATCCAACTTCCTATAACGAAATCAATCTGAAAACAGAGCAAACAGAGCAAAAAAAAAAGATCTTATTTTTTTTTAAAAGACATCATTACAAAATTGAAGCATGTTCTACCTGAATCATTACATGCAATTTCCTTAACTTAATCATAATTAACTTCCAAAACAGAGCCAAAAAAAAGATAGTATTTTTTAAAAGTCATCTCCAAACAGAACATTAAGATTCGAATCAAGACATGCAATTTCCTTAACCTAATCATGATTAACTTCCAAGTATCAAACCCTAAAAACAGAGAAACCAGAGCAATACCGGAGATGATTGATCGCCGGATCTGATGTGAAGAGAAGCTTCGGCGGAACCGTTAGGGTTCTTGAAGTTACGTACATCATGCGGGAGGGTACAGGGAAGGAGTTGCGAGTGGAGGCGATCCTCCAACGTGGACATGAGATCGGCCATTAGGTGCCTGCGCGTGGGCGAGACGTAAGGAAAGTCCATGAATTTCTGACGGAGAAGAGAGTCTTGATCATCCATTGACTGGAATTGAGCTTGGACTGTGAGTCTTTTTGAGAATCGCGACGGTTTTGTTCGTATCGAAGTTAACGGCGAGAGAAACGGAGAAGAAGAGTAGAGAGTGTTGCATAATATCATCGCCATCTGATTATTATATGTGGCTGTGAGTAAATTATATGAGCCTTCTTTATATTACACACTTCTTTTAGAATTATTTACATCTTCTCAAAATATTAACTGATCTTTTGTCATCTACAAAATTAATTACATATATTGACAAAAAAATACTTAAAGACTGCTATTTTAAGTAGAAAACTCACAAAATATTAAATAGTATTAAATATTAAATATTAAACATCAAAATTTATATAAAAATTAAGATAGGAAAATTTAATATAATAATTTATAAACCAAAATTATATTTTAGACGTCAAAAAAAAACCGAGCTTTCAAAAAGTGTGCGTGTATGAATACAAAAGCTAAACATAGAAAGATACTATATACCGTGAAGATTTTTTTTAAATGCTCGAGCGTGATTGCCTGCTTGGTAGTGATTTTCTACTAAATGATGTAGAGTCTTGGTAAGACTCAAGAGCGACTTGCAGAATTGAGAATCAAGGAATTATATGCTATTCAAATATTCTGTCTGAAAATATGTTTATTATGTAACAAAATGGGTTTAGGATGTATTAAGGGACAAATGTTTAGGATATATCTACTCTCTCACTGAATTTATTTTATTATAACTTTGTTGTTGTAGAGCTAGTTGAAATAATTTTCTCAGTATTATAACGCAGTTTTATTTAATCTTGGGTTTTAATGTCATGCTTTATGTAAGAGTTTGGTATTTCTCTAGTTATGTATATTATTCGACACAGTGATGTGTCTTTGGTGTCGACTTTTCTAACAATTTACATGACAATATTCCACGGGTTACGTAAAAACACGGAAACTACCTACTAATTGCAAGAGAAGTAGTCAAGTTCTACACTATTCATCGAGGAAATAAATAAATAAATAAAATGTTTTTGTCAATCATCTTCCTCTTTGAAGTTTCAACGTGACATTGGACCAAATCTAATCCCATGGTTTTACATTAGCTACCAGTTTTTTAAAGAGATAAATAAGGGTATATACACCCAAATACGTAAGTGTAATGAAATCGTTGTGTTAAAAAAATACACCCAATTCTAAAATCTGAAACGTCTGTCTTATTTTTTTCCAACCGTAATACACTACTAATAAAAGTATATAATACATGAAAATTCACTTTCAACATAAAAATAAAAACACTAATCTTCCTTACGGAAAATTATTAAAAGCAGCAGCTTTCTTTTGTGAATGACGTGTCACACGCTTGTTTGAAACAGTCTCTTACAAGTCTTCTTTTCCTTGTTTAGTTGCAGACTTTGCTGCTCTTCCACAACGGCGCGTGAAAGTCCACGTTCTTTATCTCAGTCATATGGGACCCACCCACCACGAAATTCTTCTCATCCCGGCCCCTCTTCTTTCTCTCTCCTTTCACCCACACCCCAAACAGTTTCAACCCTTCACCTACCACCCCCTTCTCCTCCTCCACGGCGGCTCCACCGTCTCCGCCGCAACCTTCGCAGTCACTCTCTTCCTCCATCGCCGGTTTGAGCTTCCCTCCTTTGATCATAAGATCGATCTGCTCCGGTCCCACTTTCATCTGCTCCGTCAAGAACGCCACGAGCTCATCCCTTTGCCTCTTCGCCGCCGCGAGCTCCGAGCTCAAACTATTGTTCTCTCTTTTCAGCTTCTCGTTCTCTCCGGATAAGTCAGCAACCATGTTCTCCACCGATCCCGGGTGCTTTGACCCGGGTGATGACGTGGAGCTAGATACGTGATCATCACCCGCCGAGTTTGACTCCGACGGCGAACCAACGACAACGCATTTCCCCGCCGCGGCGATCACCGACTTACGCCGACGTATCTCCGACAGCTGATCTTCCTGTCCTCTCCGGAAGTTGTCGTTAGCAAACTCCCACTTGTCCGGTACAGTTTTCCGGAAACCCTATTAGTTAAGACAAAACATGTTACTACTTCATTAATAGCTTCTAGAAGCTTTTTTTATTTCACCAACTACTACTAATGAATGATTCATTTAACCAAAATGATTTTAATAGAACAACAAAAATGAAAATGACTTTGATCATAATAACTTACGTAAGTGTTGAGCTGACGAATGAAGCTTGAGAAGTTGTTATGTTTGAAGTATTGAGGGAGAAGATCTTTTGCAAACTCAGCTGTTTTCCACACGACAAAAGCTGTTCCATCTTCGTTCCATGAAACGACGTCGTCTGTGGTCTGATCATCAACTAACTGATACGTTTTGCTTAGAAACGGCGCCGGGACAGATCTCTGCGCCGTCATCACCGCCGTCATCTACCGGCGAATTTTTTTAACAAAAAAATTAAAGACAAAACTAAAAATAATCTAGACAGAAAGAGAAAAGAAGATTTTTGGAAAATGAAAAAAAAACGGGAGAAAGATTCAGCAACTAAAGAGCAAGAGAGCAGTGAGAAATTCCCAGTCCCAGCAATAGAAGCCTGAGAGGAAGACACGAGAACGGAGAAGATCGGAGTTTCGTTTGGTTTCTTCCATCTAACGGATTATCTGATGGAGGAGGAAGTTGGAGACTACGACCATACTTCGCCGGAGCTAAACCGTGAGTTTAATACAACAAACTAAACCAAAGTCGAAAGTGTATTTTTTTTTTCTAAAGTTTTAGCATACGAAACTGTTTTTAAGTGTATTTTCTTCGGGAGGGAGGTCAATTATATAACGCATAAAGCTTTATAGATCCTACTGTGGGTCCTACGTTTGTAAGAAAAAACTAAAAAGAAAAAATGGATGCTTGTTCTAGAAATTCTCAGAAACATCTTTCTTTTTTATATACCTCTCGATCAAAATGTTCATAAAGTCTTCTTTTGTGTCATGCTTTCATCTTTCTTTTGAATTATGTTTTCCTTTTCTCTCACTTGAATAATTTTCCAGGAAATGATACCATAATTAATGTATGATACATGATCTTGTGTATTTGTCATATATATACTGACAAAAATAATAATGTCATAGATAATATAGTTTTAGACTGAAATTATGCATAATTTAGTCATTGCTAAAAATGTTATCGCCAATAAAAAAAAAATATACACACACAATCAAACAAATATAATATATGTATTCTAGAAAGTTTATGAATTTACAGATATGCAAAGTTTTGTTTCAAATATGACGGGAGACGACATGATTTTTTTACTTTAAAAATCACGACTTTGTTTACTCTGTCTATTATATTTCTTTTTGAATATTTTAATGTGCCACCTAACACATTTCGGCTTCAATTCACATTTGGGTACCAATCAGCTTCGTTTACCCTTTCTTTTCATTTGTGTATCTTTAGACTAAACAATTCGGATAATCTTTTTTAACGTTTGAGTCGTGATATTTACAAGTTCTCAAACCCCATCGACATCTACCGTCTTCATTCTTCGATTTATTTCCAGCACCCTTGGCTTTTTTTATCATGATAATGATATTTATCAACCATGGTAAGTCTTACGTATCGTGACAAAATGTAAGTTCTTATAAACTATCGACTACGTCTCCATTGTTCGATTCATTTCCAACACCTTTTTAGCTTTTAATCTTGTCAAGGACGATATATATATCTCACATAAGGGTAGAAACTAGAGATAGTTTGCATGCACATGGTCGAATAAAAGTTTTATATTTGCCCAAATTCAAGACTTGAGTAGTTGGAGAACAATGGCGCACGCTTGCATAACTATATTTAAAAGCTGCTTCTAGACATTCAAACATATTATTGGATCCAGAAACTTTATTTTTAAGTCAAAAAAGGCGATAACAAACTTGTGAGAAAATGTCTATAGTTGCATGCATGTACATCTCCATTTGAACCTCAAAGTAACACATCTTTATTGATCATTCTTAGTGGTAAAAATTGTTTTATTTCGCTATTCCTGAATCGTTCTATAGTATATAGTTATAAGGGGAACCCAGTTTTAAGCATATGTATGTATGAATTCACTCGATATATAGTATGTAACTAAGTTAGTTTCGGTTATTGATTTCAAACTAGTTTTAAGCATATGCATGAATTCACTCGATATATAGTAATGTACGATTCACTCAATAGTATTTTGTATGTGATTTCCAATTTCAACTACCATCCACTTTTGTCAAACCATCTTCGAATTTCCAATGTTTTAGCATCTCTTCGTGTGTATGGCTAAAACAGGTTCATGATTTAGTAGACTAATCTTTGACAGTTTCATTTTGAAAGCTCCACTTATATACAAGGAAATCATAGATTAATGGCATTAATAAACGTGTAGACAACTTCAATTCTTCGTATTGATAGGATTTTAGTTTTTTTTTTTCTTTAACCAAGTTGAAGTATTTGATTTTAGACTTTTATACTCTTTCACATTTCATACCGCAAATGATTTATAAGCTTTCCTTGTTTATTTAATAAGGTATTCTGTTCAGCCGTGACAATGCTAAATAACATTTTTTCTACGCAGAAAAGTCGAATGGAGACAGCTTTGATTTTTGTAAAATACTAGTATGTCCAGTTTGGTAGTAAAAATGAAAATTCTTACATAACATGTATATGAAAAATACTTCATAAAAAAAATATGGACAGAAAATTCTGTAAGAACTTAGGTTTATCCATTTAGTATATTTTTTTACTAAGATACGTAACAATTTATTTATTTAGTACATAAATGTTCCATTTTATTCCTTTTAATTTACAAAATAGTATGTAATCTTATAGTTCTTCAATTATTTTGTTTTTTCTACCAAGATATACAAATACAAAGTCCCGGACCACTAGAATATAAATTGTGATTTCCAATTAGAATTATTAGTTATCTAGCTGCTAATAATTATAACTGAGTTTAATTCCGATATCATTAATGCATGGTTGTGGATGCGCAAAGAAAATACTAATTATTACAAATATAACGACATAACTTAATTTTAATTTGCATTATAAATTTTGGAATTGCAGTATTGTTGAACCAACTAATTTTGCAACTAGTAAAACAAATCTTCAACCATTAAGTCAATTTAAGTGGTTTGGGTCCTTAATGTTAAACAGCTTGTTTCGTAGTTGTGGACCATTTCGTTTGGTTCTTCGATGGAAAGTTCTAACTCATTTCTAGGGTTGTGGTGACATGAGAGAAAATGACCACTTGGGCAAATCAACTGAAGTCAGACGAATGGCTATATAATAATTGTATAACAGTGAAAGATAATAATTGCAAATACACCGAGAATTATTGACACGTATGTGGAAACAACGATGTGAAACGTACCTCTTTTATTATCCACCAATCTGGTTGACAGAACTTGGAAGATTAGTCTGGTTGATATATAATTACGGTTGTCGAGCATTAGAATGTTTGAGTTCCACTACTTCCATCACAACTTTCGAACTGTGCTTTTCCATATTCTCTCATCTTAGCTTTTGAGTCGACAAGAGCTGTTCATGCACACCCAAAAATGCAATAATTAATGTATTTTATGTCTTAGAAAAAGAAAACTTAAGAGTCATCAACAGTTCTTGAAGAAGAAACCGCATCAACAAAATTTGTTTTGAGGTTATAAAACAATTAATATACCCTAAACTAAATTTATACTCAATCAACCATTGAATCTATCATATCTAAGTAGGATGGTGTCAAGTTAGGCCACCTGAAGTTTTGGTCATTCTATGTGTGGATGGATGTCAAAGAGTTAGTTTCTGATCACGACGGAAATGCTTCATATCCAAACAACAAGCTGCTAAATAGCTTTAAACAGTACACTAGTTTATGTTGGTATTGGTACTAGTTTGTTCTTGGCTGTCTTTGATAACATCAACCAAATTTCGATTTGGTTTCCTCTAATTAATTCCAGCCAAACTTAGAGCATGATTAGTGGTGTTCTCCATTTAGGGTGGCTTAGTGAATTTTTTAGTATTTAAGTGTACTTAAGGGATTTTGTTAAGAGATCTTCAATCTTATTAGTTTAGTGGTTGTATCTTAAGTAGGGTTGTTTAAAATAAAAAAATATTAAACATAATTTTATTAAATAACACAAAGTTGAACATATTATTTGAANACTTAGAGCATGATTAGTGGTGTTCTCCATTTAGGGTGGCTTAGTGAATTTTTTAGTATTTAAGTGTACTTAAGGGATTTTGTTAAGAGATCTTCAATCTTATTAGTTTAGTGGTTGTATCTTAAGTAGGGTTGTTTAAAATAAAAAAATATTAAACATAATTTTATTAAATAACACAAAGTTGAACATATTATTTGAAACATAGATTTTAAAATAAAAACATGAAAATATTATTAAAACATAATTAAACATTACACATATAAAAAAGATAATTATTTGAAAGCGGCTACGAAATTCAGTTGTTCTGTTGATCACGTCCAAATTTACGCCAAATATGCTCGACTAAATCACGTTTTAGTTGTTGATGCGCTGCTTTATCATGAATTCTTACTCGAACACCCATTTGATTGGCGATATTTGTAGGGGTATCTGTTGAATAATTGAGATCAACATGTGAACTTCCACTGCTTTCTCCTTGATGGAAATCTGAAACATCGTATTGGGTGCCTTGATCTCGTTCATCTTCCACTATCATATTATGGAGAATGATACATGCTCTCATAATCTTCCCGATCTTGACTTTATCCCAATAGAGTGCAGGATTTTTAACAATCGCAAATCGAGCTTGCAAGACTCCGAAAGCACGCTCGACATCTTTTCGGACAGCTTCTTGACATTGAGCAAATAAAGCCGCTTTCGGACCTTGTGGTAGTGAAATAGATTGGATAAAAGTTGCCCACTTCGGATAAATACCATCGGTGAGATAGTAAGCCATTGAATAAGTTCTTCCGTTCACCGAGAAATTTACTTCCGGAGCGTGCCCATTTATTATGTCATCAAAAACAGGTGACCGTTCAAGAACATTGATATCATTTAAGGTACCTGGAGGTCCGAAAAACGCATGCCATATCCAGAGATCGTAAGAAGCAACCGCCTCTAAAACGATTGTGGGTTTTCCCGAACCTCGAGAATATTGGCCTTTCCAAGCGGTGGGACAATTCTTCCACTCCCAATGCATGCAATCGATGCTGCCTATCATCCCCGGAAATCCCCGAAGCTCTCCAATATGAAGTAGACGCTGAAGATCTTCCGCTGTTGGTCTTCTCAGGTACTCATCTTCGAACAAATCTACTATTGCTTCGACAAAATGTTCTAGACATAACCGAACAGTGCTTGCACCGAGCCTGAGGTACTCGTCCACCGCATCAAACGCTGAACCATATGCTAACACACGTATAGCTGCGGTACACTTTTGAAGTGCAGAGAGACCCATCCTGCCGGATGCGTCTTGCTTTTGGCGAAAGTATTCAACGTTGTTGGAGAGGCGATCAACAATACGCGTGAACAATGACTTGCTCATTCTGAATCGTCGTCGGAATAGATTATGAGGATAAGTTGGGGACTCACTAAAATAATCATTCCATAACTGGAGTTGACCTTCTTCACGGTGTCTTTCGATAACGGCTCTTTTTCTTCTTGTCTTGTGTTGATTCTCGAATGCTTGCTCGAAATAATCATCAAAATATTGATCAAAATGCTGGTCGAAAGCTTCATCAAGGGAATCCTCATTTTCAGAAGACGACATGTTCGAACTGTTCTTGAAACAAAAAGGACAAACATTAGAATTTATATAGAATTTGATAATTCTACAAATATTGGGTAAACAATAATTTATTTATATGAATTTATATAGAATTTGATTATATGAATTTATATAGAATTTGATTATATGAATTTATATATAATTCGATAACTCTTAAAATATTGGGTAAACAAGATTTTCAGTATATAAATTTATATAGAACTTGATTATATGAATTTATATAGAATTTCAGTATATAAATTTATATAGAACAAACATTAGAATTTATATAGAATTTGATAATTCTACAAATATTGGGTAAACAATAATTTGATTATATGAATTTATATAGAATTTGATTATATGAATTTATACAGAATTAGATTATATGAATTGAGAATTACAGAGATCATACTTAAATTGAGAGAGAATGGTTTGGTTGAGAGAGAATGGTTTGGTTGAGGTGCTTCTTGATTTGGTCGATGCTTTGGTTGATATTTCTTTACTTGGTTTGGAGATAGAGAGAATAGAGAGACTGAGAATAGAGAGAATGAGAATTGAGAGATTTGTTTGATATTTCTTTGCTTGTAGAGAGAATGAGAATTGAGAGAATGAGAATTCTTATTTATAAACAACAACACTGTCTCCTTTACTCGTGACACACACACACACTCAGTACAACACACACACACTTGACACAAAACAACAACAACACACACACACACACACACTCAGTACAACACAGACACACACACTTGTGACAGAAAACAACAACACTGTCTCCATTCTTGTGACAGTCTTCACGTGACAGAAACACCAACACATACACTGTCTCCATTCTTTCCTTTTCTCGTGACAGAAAACAACAAGACTGTCTCCATTCTCGTGACCTGCAATAGAACAAAAACAGTTAGACCAAGTTTAATTAAGACAAGAACAGAAACATTTAGACAAAGTTTAATTAAGACAAGAACAGAAACATGTTAATAAAAACACAATCATTTTAATAAAACAGAAACATTTTAATTAAAACACATGATTGAAACAGAACAAGGCAGAACAACATTTTTAATTAAAAACACAAAGATTTAAACAACTACATGAGAGAAACAGGACAACCAGAACAACATTTTTAATTAAAACAGAAACATTTAAGGAGGACTCCACTTAGAACAACTCTTTTATGAGTGCTTTCTTCAGGTCTTCTTCATAATCAGGAAGAGGTTCCTGTTTGCCAACGAGACTCTTAAGGAGATTCAGCTTAGACACCCTCTCCTTCCCAGCCAAATCTCGCTCTTTGATCGTCCACATCTTCTCAAAGTCATCAGTTTTTTTGTCCTCTACCACCTTCTTACCACTGGCCTTTGAGGCTTTCACACCGGGTGGACGTTTGTTTTCTGTTGCTGGAGAGGTCTCCTCATCTCCAACTTCCTCATAGTTCCTCTTCCTCGAGCTTGCAGACTTCTTTGCAGTTGACTGAGCGCACCACTTCTGGTCGTAGCGAAGTTCTCTCCAAGCATGCTCTAAGTTAAATGTCTTCTTGTTGTTGTTGGCTGAGAATATCGCATGAGCAGCTGTGAGAACATCACCTTCATTATAGCCGCTGCCTATCTGTCTGGTAGCAGCTTCAAACGCACCACAGAACTTACTGACTTGGTCGTTAATCCTATGCCAACGCTGCTTGCAATGTGCAGCCTGTCTATCTTCGACGCCAACAACCAGAGGACTTGCCGCATAATATGCGGCTACTCTTGTCCAAAAAGTTCCGGCTTTTTGCTCGTTTCCAACCACCGGATCCTTACTCGTGTTTAACCACGAGCTGATCAAGAGAATATCATCATTCACTGTCCATTTGCGCCGTTTTTGACGCGTTGCTCCCGTGTCTCCAACTCCATCAAAGTTCGAAGATGAAGAAATATCAACACCATCACCAAAGTTTCCAAAGGAAACCGTTTGTTGACTAGTAAGTAGATCAACAAACCGAGAAGTTTGAGAAGATGGATAGGAATCCATATGTGAAAGAAGATAAAATTAGAGAGATATGAGAGAAGAGGAGTGTCGAAGTTTGAAGAGAAGAAGACAGACTTTTGATTTGTTTTGAAGAAAGAAGACAAGAGCATTTGTTTTATAGAACCAAAACTCCTATCTACGCATTCATAACATCCAAGCTGTCCCGAGTTGACATATATCTAAACACAATTAACTCATTTCTATCTAACCGTAACAAAGCAGAGATAAGCATTGATTCGGCTTCAACAACCAAACCTATTTATTACATAAACCTCTATCTAACAACAACCAAACATATTTATTACATAAACCTCTATCTAACAACAACCAAACATCGATTTATTTCAACAACAATATTGCTTAATTTCTACACAGAACAACTAAACAAACCATGAAAGTATTCAACTAGAAACAGAGTCTCAGAACAACTTAAAATTTCTACACAGAACAAACGAAATACTCAGATTGAAACAAAATCTTATCAACTAAACAAACAATGAAAGGGATCAGAACATACCTTATTACACACGGACACAATCAACCACCACCACAGCCGCTTCATCAATCCACCTAAGCCAAAACAGAGACAAATAATTTAAAAATATATCTGAGGAGTTATATTACAAATTGACGCTGAGAATAAAAGGAACAAATCTACCTGAATCATGCCTCTAGATCCATCCACCTAAATGTACACAAATCTTAAAATTATCAGAGGATTGAAAGAAAAATGAAAAGCAAAAAAATCTGAGACATGCAAACTAAAAAAATTGAAACATGCAGGTTTACCTTTCGATTCGCCTCATCGGAAGCAGTCACCGTTGTTCTTCGTCTCAAAGAACAGAAGATAGAGAATCGCCTTTCGAATCGCACTTCGAGTTCGTCCGACTCCGCTTCGACATCACCCACCTCGACTACAGGCACCGTTGAGTACAGCCACCGTCGAGTTCAGCCACCGGCGAGTACACACGTCGTCGACAAAGGAGAATCGCCTTTCGAATCGCAGAAGAAAANGTCACCGTTGTTCTTCGTCTCAAAGAACAGAAGATAGAGAATCGCCTTTCGAATCGCACTTCGAGTTCGTCCGACTCCGCTTCGACATCACCCACCTCGACTACAGGCACCGTTGAGTACAGCCACCGTCGAGTTCAGCCACCGGCGAGTACACACGTCGTCGACAAAGGAGAATCGCCTTTCGAATCGCAGAAGAAAAAAGAGAGAATCGGAAACGGAAGAGATAGGAGAAAATGAAAGGTTTTGTCGAAACCTTCCCCCACACCGCTCCTCTCTCCTCTACAATCTTGACGCGTGGCACTTAACCAACGCCCCTTCCGTGGCTTAATTAAGTCACGCCCCTTCTTTATTATCCATTTAATCTTTATTTTTAAGCAACAAATTAGCTTAAAAAACCCCTAAGCAACATTGATAAACATGGTCTTATGCATCTTTCTCTAGATTCTTCCCGAACCTGTACTGGAGAGGACCCACTTTGCTTTTGTTCTTGTTTTTCTATATCTCTCTTATCATATCCATAGAAGACAGTTTATATCTCGCATATGCTACTGATGATGTAATTTACTTATTTCGGGGTGTTGTGAAAGAACGTTTATTCTTGAACATATTAAAAATGCATAGCAATATAGTTGTTTTGGCCAAAAAACCCAAACCGACATTTAAATCAACAAAGTGGTCCAGAAAATGGGATATAAAATACAATTTGATAAGTTCATCAATCTAATAATTATGTATGCCGTACGTTAACGTCATACGTTGCCACTACATACTCACCTCAAATAAAAGTGATCAATCACACGTCCCAAAATCTGTTTGGGCCACCAATGATTTATTGTTCTACCAAATTGTAGTTATATACATATAAATTATACTAAGCAAATAAACATACATTAAACATATATGTATATCGTAAGACTTGAAAGAAGAAAACACGTTTACTCGTGACATCTCTTTCTCTGTTTCAAGTTTTAACAACCGATTAAGCAAAATCACATTTTTCCTCTTAAGAACTTTTAAACTCGGCTTTTACTGGAGGGGTCCATTTAAAAAGAGAGGCACCGGCCCATCTCAGTTTGTCCTTTTTTCCCCTCTCGACATCTTAAAAAATAGTGAAACCTCTGAAACAGACAGAAGGTTCCGTGAATTTATAGACCTACTCACCTATCAGCATCGGACGGTTGAGATTGTTTCAACTAGTCATCGGAAATAAAAACAATAATCTTCTCGCCTGAGAAATCAACTTTCCCCAATCGGAGAGAGTCTAATTAGGGTTTCTCTCAGCTTCTTCAGACGAGAGGAGATTCGATTCGATTCGAGGAAGATGTGGCACGAAGCGAGAAGATCGGAGAAGAAAGTGCACGATATGATGGACGCAGCTCGTAAAAGAGCTCAGCGTCGAGCTATCTACTTAGCTAAACGCCGCGGAGATCCTATCCAGTCGATCCAAGCCGTTGGATCCCGCTTCAAAATCTTCCGCGATGACGGTCTTTACCAAGCCACCGAGGATCAACACGGCCTGTAAATAAACTAATCATCCTTCTTCGATTTTTTTCGATTTTCGGATAGATTTCTTATTAACGTTGAATGAATGTCTGTTACAGGATACCTTGGAACGGGAAGCAGGATGTTATGATTGATAGGTATTGAATTAGGTTTTAGCTGTTTGATCGATTCCAATTGATTTGCATGCTTGTTCATGCTCTGAACGTGTACGGTGTAGATTTGATGGACGTGCTATGCTTGATTTTGTGCGTGAGGCTGGTTCGAGAAGCATACGGCCACATAAGAAGTCGGAGGAGGAGGAAGAGGTGGAGGAGTTTGTTAATTTTGAGCGTTATCGGGATTTGATTAAGCATCGCCGTAGAGGATGTCGGTACCTTTCTTCTACATTCAGATTATATTTGTGTGTTTCAATCATATCTATCATGAAAAGACTATTCAAGGAAAATTCTGAGTTGAAATTGAGATTAGAGTCACTGGGAGATAATGCTTCCTACTGTGAACAGTTTCTGATGGGGAGGGGTTGCTACACGTCAATCAAGAACTTGAGGCTAAACTTGTTGCACCTTTCCTCGGGACAAAGTACATTCTCAACTTTAATCTTCAATATAATGATTACGAACATAAAGCTCGAGTTTTTTAATCCTCATTGCTGTAATCATCATTTATCTTGTAGTTAATGTGAACTTTTTTTTTGTATGTGCTTTCTTTAGGCCACAACTAGCTCAACCACCTGCAAACAAAGGCACGTATTCACAGGTTGGGTTTTCATATGGTGGAAACGGGAAAGAGGCAGCTTTGGATGCGGAAGAAGATGATGATGACGACGAGGATGATGAGGATGAGGAGGAAGATTTCGACAGTAATGACAGTGATGACGAAGGAATGGAAGCAATAGCGAAACAGTTTGGTGTGAAGCGGTATGGGTGGCTTGTTTATATGGACAAGAAGGCCAAAGAGGAAGAGAAAAGGCAAAAGGAACTTATCAAAGGCGATCCTTCAGTTGTAAGTTGCAAGGCTCGTGTTCTTTGGTGAAGGTTATACCTTATTTTTGTTTTAATGAAAATGTAGAAGAAGTTGAGTCGAAAGGAAAGAAGAAAGGTTTCTAGGATAGAGAGGGATAGAGAAAGAGAAACTTCAAGGAGTTTTGGAAGACACATGATTCAGCATGATCCCTATAGGTAAGACAGTACAACACACCAGACAAAGGGAAAGTATGTGTATATTTAGCTCACTGGATGGTCCTTTTAAATTCACAGGGAGTCTCGAAGGAGTCCTACTTATGACGCTTATCCGCGTTCAAGAAGGTTTTTCCCTTAGCCTTTTATTATGTCATACAAGGTATGGAGAGTTGGAAACATTCGGAAAGTGATTGCTCAACTCCTCTTGCTTGTATCCACAGATCCAGATCCCGGTCATATTCTCCGTCTTACTCAAGGCGGAATGGTCATGGAGACCACTCTGACGAAATTAGCATGCCAAAAATCGAGTATATTACAGAATTTGGAGGCTCTGGAGACGTGGGAAGTCCAAAGTTTGGAGGATATTCCCCACCGCGTTCACCACCATCTCAAACTGACCTATTCAACCGGTCGGAGCACTCAACCTCTAGTTCTTGCAAAGATAGCCACTTACTACTCCCCTTTTGTTGGTCGATGAAAACTTTTGTTGTGTAGAATGCATGTAGATTTGATTACCTGTGACCACAAGGGAGAGATAGAAGCTTGCTTTCTGGAACTGACTGAAATTTGCTTAGGTATAATGTTTGGAGTAGGAAATTATAATTTTGTATTTCCCTGCAGACCATCGTCAGGACATATTCTTGAGGCACTGCATGTTGATCCTGCATCTGGTGTATCACTTGAGAAAGACAAGATTGTTAAAATACCAAAACCGTCAGTGAGGTATGGTCATGACTGCATATATCAAGTTTATATTGGTGGTATATGTCTCATCCTTTAGCTTTTGTATTTACAAATTGGAACCTTGATACCTTTTCTATCATTTGCAGTACTTCCTCGGCACTAGCAAAGCTTTCAAAAGCAGGTACCTCCTCGGGAGGATCTTCCAAGCAGGCACCAGCGGAGAAGAAAGAAACTCCCCAAGAACGACTGAAGAGAATCATGAACAAACAGCTAACGCAACAGAGTAAGATCTTAAAGTGTTGTTATATTCTTCTCTTCCGATTTGCTATTAGAAACTGAGATGGTGTATGGATCATATTTGTAACAGTTAAGAAAGACTCCGCAACAGAGACTGCTAAAAAACGAGAACAAGAGAGGCAGAGGCTGGAGAAACTAGCGGAAACAAGCCGGTTAAGTCGGAGTAGACATCGCAGCCGTAGTAGGAGTTATAGTCGATCACCACCACCGAGGTTGTTAATAAAGTTATCATTTTTGCTTCGTGATTAGAGTGAGGATGACAAGGAAGTCACAAGACTTTTTATCTGTTCTTAAAAGCTCTGATTGGATCTGCTCTCTACTCGAGACTCACCTACAGTGATTTTCCATCATCTACTTCTTCCAGTTTGGTTTTCTTAACTTGTTAAAAATGCTTGTGTCTGCAGAAGACACAGACGAAGCAGAAGTAGAAGCCGAAGCAGGAGCAGGAGATCCCGCAGGCATGGTTCAAGATCACGGTCTAGGTCCCCGTCAAGGTCACTATCACGCTCTCCTAAACGCTCTCGCAGACGCTCTTCCTCGTATTCGAGGTCTCCCAGGTAAAAAGCAAATGCAAAACATGTTTTTTACAAAATGGTGGCTTTGCCTCTTTTAACATATAAGAGTCTTTTGCAGGCGAAGAAGCAGGACAAGGCACTGAACTAAGAAGGAAAGAGATAAAAGAGGGTAACACTATTATTGTTGAAGCCAAAAGACTATATGTTGCCTCTTTTCCTTTATTTTATATACTATTTGTTATGTATGTTTTTTTCTGATCTTTTTTATCTCTACTGTTTATCCTGAATAAAGTTTGACTGCGACAATGTGTTATACTATAATTGTTTTGCATCCATGATAACAAACAAGAATAAAGCTTTCAGATGGTTTGTTTTGGTGGTTCATAAGATGTTAAAATCAAAAGGTTTGTTTAGTAGATTAGTGAAGATATAAAGCTGAGTGGAAATCTAATACTTAATACATTAGCTATGTTTGTAAGAGATGTCTACTTTATAGCTGAATAATGGAATTTTAAACATTGAACGATTGATTTTTTGTCAATCATTTGATATAATTATTATGTAGACCAAAAAATGTATAAACGTGGTGTTAGTTGAAACCTCTCTTTCTTTGTTTTCCTTCATACGTATATTCATAAAATGGGTTGAATGAAGGGGAAAAAACAATTTAACGTTGAATGTGGTAGGAGGAGTCGCGACCGTAACACATGGATATTTGAAATTGGACATATATTTGATTTTTGTACTCAGAATTAAATTTATTACTTGGTATTTAGTTTGTACGGTTCGTTTGTTTTGTTCGGAAAATCAATGCTAGCAGTAACGTTGATAAACGCAGTTGAAAAACATCAAAAATGGATACAAAGGTACGTGATATTAGTTGAGTACTATATATTTTTTATCCGGTCTAAGGCTATGTGCAAGTGGTGCACTTGCTCAGGGTCCAAAATTTTAGTAAAAAAATTTAGTTAGAAGTTAGTAAAAACTACAAAATTTTAGGGCACTCCTTATAAATTTATGTTAATTGATTAAGGTTTTTTTTTGCAGATTTATGTTAATTATTTTTACAGACTAAAAATTGGCCTAGGGCCCATTAAAGCATCGAGACGGCCTGGGCTATACATATGCATAACAGACGTGATACTATCTACTACCCTGGCCTCCCTAATATCTCTATATATTGAGATATTTTTCATAACATATCTGTGATAAGTAGATGAGGACGATTTGAATGAAGGAGAAGAAAAAATCAAACGTTGAACGTGGTAGGAGCGGAGTCGCTATTGGTCATGCGTCAGATATGATACGTGGGTTTTAATATTTAGACCAATATTCAGAAAAAAAGTTGTACAAATTGATGGGTTTGTTTTGTTCGAAAAATCAATGCCACATTAAATAACAACGAGAGATTAGTGAGTTTTGTCGTCTGTGTCTCTGCGTGTGCGCTTGATCATCCCTATGCGTAAAATACATAGTAGCATAACGTGATAAATTGATAATGACTCCGTGTTATTTTACTAAAGCTTTCAAATTTCGCAACTTCATGAATAATCAATAATTTGAGAAATTCAAATCTTTGGAACTATAAAAAAGAATGCCACGAGAAATGAGATTGCATTATTATCAAAGGTTGTAAGTAGTTATTAAAATAATGACGAATTAAGTATGTTGGTATATAACATGTGAAATGTCTTCAACGTGGCTAGTTCGAACTACTAAGTACTGCTCAAACTGTAGTATATAAACAAACTACTAGTTTGGAAACTACTACTAATAAACTTGTCAAACATCCTCTTTACATTGAAAAGAGAAAATCGACTACCGTATAAAGTTATTAACCTAGTACTAAATGAAGGGAATAAACTGAAAATTGCGATGCCAGACTCTATTAGTTTCGAATTTACGAACTCACGGAGTTATTTCAAATATATATTCTCTTTTCTACCAATTAGAACTAAAATCAGTATTTCTATTGAGAGCAAAAGTTTTAGGGGCTATGATCCTCCTTTCTAGGTCTGCAGGGAGTTACAAATCTATATAAGAAAAATAGTTAACAGTTAAATAACGTAAAAAAGGTTAAAAAAGAAAAAGCGGGAAGGCTATTAAACAGAAACGACAAAAAAGTGTCTGAAATGTATCGAAAGAACAAACAAAAGAGCAGAATGGTCACATGGGAAGAGTTGTTGTGGCTTTGTGTAAGGATCAGAGAAAGAAGAAGATAAGCTACATAACGGGCATTTAATTCCGTCCAAATCTAATATTTTTTTTTCTTCCCAGTTTTCATTTTAAGAAAGTGTAAGAATTAACAAGAAAAGAAGTCAATTTCAAAATGAACTAATGTTAAAGAGATTTCTTGTTTTTCTTTTAGTAATCACCTTTTAATTGTTTTTGAGTAATATATGATCAGACCGGACCGGCCACGACATTTGTCTTAATGCTTACAAAACAAAAACTCTCTCTCTCCTCTTTATCTCTCTCTCTCATCTCTCAAAGTTCTCACCTTTTGAGAAACACAAAAGTACATTTTTTCTACTCTTTATTCAGTTTACATCATCACTCTCTCTCTCTCTCTCTTTAACAACACACTTCAAATCTCTCCGGTCAACAAAAAATGACTTCAGTTTCTTAATAAAGCTTCCACCTTTAAATCTGAAAGATTCTTTCTTTAAATCCTCAGGAGAAGAAGAAATCAATAAGGATGAGGAAGACATCTCTTTCTTCAAACAGCTTCGGTGGGTTTCTAAGTCCCGGAGCTCCGAGTTACTCCGACAACAAAGGCTGGAGCTCCGAGAGAGTCCCCCATCCTTCCTCCTCCTCCACCGCTTCAACCCCAACAGTTAACATCCCTCGTCGTCACCTCGGCTCAGCTTCTGCTTTAGCGACGCCGTTTTACAGCGGCAGATCGATACCTTCGAAATGGGAAGACGCTGAGCGGTGGATTTGCAGTCCCGTGGCGACTACTTACCAGCCTGGCGTCTGTACTACAAACCCTTCAGCGAGCTCTCAGTTCTCTGAACAGAGACGGCAGAAGTCTAAGAGTGGTCCCATTGTTCCTCCTATGCTTCCTCATCCTCCACCGTATTCTCCGAGGCTGACTATGCGGGCCGTGGAAGGTCAGAAAGGTTTAATGGTGGCTGGCTCGCCGTTCTCTACTGGTGTTTTGGAGGCGGATAGGGTTTTTAGAGGGAGTGTTGTTGGTGGTGGTGGTGGACATGGACATAGCCGGAGCTGGATTGATTTGATGAGTGAAGAAACTTTTTCTCTTAGCTCCAAAACTGATACAGGTTAGCTCTCTCTCTCTCTCTCTTCTTAGATGCAATATGAATCTGAAAGTTTAACTCTTTGCATTTAAAGACTCACACTTTGTCAAATCCGATCTTGAAAAGACCAAGTTTGAGCCGATTCTTGTGTAGCTATGGCTAAAGATCTAAGCTTTGTTGATTGTGCAGAGGAGAAAGCAGAAGATAGGAAGGAGGGGGAGGTGACTACGGCGGCGCAGTCTCCTGTGGTTTCAAGAAGAGACATAGCTACTCAGATGAGTCCAGAAGAGATGAGTCCTAATCACCAGTCTCCTCCTCAAGAGCTATCTTCACCGTTGGTTGTTTCTGTGATTGAGCCTCCTCCTTGTAGAGTGAGAGAAGTTAAGATGGATAAAGGAGCAAAGATGATTAAGCGTCCCAAGAGACGTGTTATGTCTTCTTCTTCTTCGTCTTCTAGGGTTGTTATTAGGAGAGAGCAACCTGAGGTTGAAGACAACTCTGAAGCAGCTTCTGCTTCTTCTTCTTCTTGGGATATCTCTGAACCAGCCATCACTCTTTCAAAGTAATCAAACTGAACCAGCCATGGCTTCTTCTTATTGGATAGCTATTAATGTTCTTCTTTGTGTTGCAGGTTGCAAAGAGAGGAAGCAAAGATAGCAGCTTGGGAAAATCTGCAGAAAGCCAAAGCAGAAGCTGCCATTAGAAAACTTGAGGTCCTCCCTCTACGCTTTTATATAATCTCCCTTCATGGACATTATAGTGATTTGTTTTTGGCAATGAATGACACAGGTGAAGCTGGAGAAGAAGAAATCAGCATCAATGGATAAGATCTTGCACAAACTTCAATCAGCAAAGTTGAAAGCACAGGAGATGAGGAGAAGTTCAGTATCAAGTGACCATCAACAAGAACAACAAGTCTCCAGAAACTCAGTGAAGATCACTCATCTTGTCAGAAGACATACGTTCATGACACCTTTCATGGCTTGCTTTGCTCCTCGCGTTGATTGCAGCAGAAAGTCTCCTTCTGGTGCTCTCTAGTTTCATTCTTTTGTTGTTGTAAAAGACAAAATTTGAACAAAACAAAAACATTTGTACACTTGCAAAATTTTCTTGTAAAGCTTTCATCTGTTCCAACTTCCACTTCTCTTCATAATGATATACCATCACAACGCAGGGTTCAGTTGTTCCCAGAGGGAAAGAAACATAACAAATAAATTGATACTGAGAGGATTCATAAATGTATCTGACAAGTTTAAGTTCATACAACTGACAAAGACAAAGCTCAATGATATTGTCTGCTCTGGTCTGGTGCATTAGTAGGGGCGGTACCTCCAGTCTGATCTTGATTGTCTTGCACTCGGCATCCCATATCCCCACTAGCAAATTTTAATCAGAAAACATAATGAATCAGACACAAAATTGGATGTGAAAAATCTTAGATTAGTGTTCTACTCACATCGTCCAAGCTCATGCCTCCTCCATACATTCGACCAAAAGTGCGCATTGGACCTCCATATCCACCAATATATTCAGGGCGAGAAGAACTTAACGTTGAACTTCCACCGGCGCTAGGTCCAGCTTCATCAAGAGGTGTCGCTGAATCTATTGCTACCTAAAGCAAAACAACGTGGCCTTTGTTAAACATCTTACTGTAACATGCCTATTGTGTACGTATAATCATCAACTACAAAGCTTTTTCTTTACCTCTTGTCCACAGATTTCATGAGATCTCCGGGATACACGATCTGCAACACCATTTTCAGCAAAGGTAACGAATCCAAAACCTCTATGTCCACTTCTCTTTGGGTCCTGTTGACAAAAGGTGAATGTTTATACATGTTCTTCAAACGCTGTCTGACTGTAACTTTATAACTCACCTTTGGAATGTATGCATCTTGAATACGTCCAAATCTCCCAAAATAATCGCGAAGATCATCAACGGTGGCTTCTTGAGGAAGACGTCCAATAAAGATCTTATTTCCTATTCCCCTCGTTGGTTCCGGTCCTAAGTCAAAGTGAAGGTTCCCCTTAAATATATCTGAAGACTTCTTTTGTATCTAATTAGAATCTTAGGAATTATATAGCGAGTCTTACTTCCATAAAACGAGGCAGCATTATCATACAGAGTAGGAGCACCAAGAGCTGCGTATCTTGTAGCTGCAGAAATGTAAGCATCGTAAGCTCCATAACCACCTGGGGCTCCAAATCCACCTGCAACAGCCACGGGTGGGCGTGGCATCCTAGCCGCTGGCGGTGGCCTAGGAGGATCATCCTCCTTTGGTGTTGCCCGATCAACAGCAACCGTTGTCCCACCCAGATCATGGGTGTCTTCCATCAGATCCTCCACTGAATCTGAAATCACAAAACGCAAGAGATTCTTCTGGCTCAAAGTTTTACAAACAGAATATTTATAGGCAGGACAGCATTTGTCAGTTCCTCACGAGTTTGATGATCAGAGTTCTAGAGAATGTCCTGTTATCAATGTATGTAAAACCAAATTTGAAGGATATACTAACTGACCAGAAGTAGCGAATGTTATAAACCCAATTCCTCGGTGTTGCTTCGACTTGTGATCCTAAAATGTAAAATGGGGAAAATGATATCAAGTCCAGGAGGCACACACAAGCTAAACAATTGCGCCAGATGTGACCACAAAGTCTTCCATGTGTTAACTATATTATGATGAGAAACACAGCTAAATAAGTAGGAAAGATTACCTTAGGCATGTATAGGTCAGTGATTTCTCCATACTTCTCAAAATGACTGCAAAAGAGTACACAAGGAACGCTTAATACTTTCCATTAAAACCAATTCTGACAAACTAAACTACAATGATAACAAAATCGAGTTACCTTCGGAAATCTGATTCAGAGACAGATGGAGGGATACGAGCAACAAAGATCCTGGTAGCCTTTTTTGCAGGCTGTCTCATCTCTTCCTGGGCTCAATAACATAACTCCTTTTGAACAAAGATGACCAGGAGAAAATGTCTTCATATTAGATTTCACAAAATCGATGAAACGAACCTTTGGTGTAGCAACTTTGACTTCCAAGATTCTGTTGCCTAGAAAGTGTTCACTTTTCAAAGCGTCCTACAAAGCACTCAAACAGTAAAACAGATATACCAATGGAAGAAGCATACAGCGAAACAAACGAAATGCAACCTTGGCATCTTCAGAAGAATGAAAAGTTACATATCCAAAGCCACGAGATCTTCCAGTTGATCGATCCTAAACACAAAAACATGTTGGTTCAGATCGTAACTGGGAAAAGAAAAGAGTGGTAAAAAAAAAGCAAACACACACCTTCATGACAATACAATCCTCCAAGTCACCAAACTTGGACATGTAATCCTTAAGCCCATCTGAATCAATCTCCCACGGGATCCCCAACACCTACAAAGACAATCTCATTCAACCATCACTATTCATATTTAAAAAAATGAAAACTTTGAGGTCAATGCGACCAATTACCACAAGCTTCCTTTCCATGAGATAAGATGCAATCTAAAGTGTAGAGATCTGGGGACGAATTAAGCAAACCCTAAACACACTCTCAGAACATATATCTCTCTCCCTCCCACTCTAAATCTCTCTCCTCTCCTCTCTTATCCTCCTGCAAACCACAATAACATCTCTTTCTCACACACAATGATAAAATCATCAAACACTAAATCATCGTTTTTGAGATGATGCAGATCCTCTCCGAATACAAACTTATTCATCCTTTAAATTCACACACTCACCTTTCAGGTCTCTCTCGCTCCCTCCCTCTCACCGAGAAACCCTAATTTTGTCTCGATTTTGATTTGAATTTGTCTCTCAATTGAGACCGTGTGGCTCTGGATGTGGGAATATTCCGGCGATTAAATGTTCACGCTGCTTCGCCATTGGTGACACGTGTTGAACATAGACTTTTGTCTTTTTGCTGTCTGATAAGCCCATCTTGATATGTTACAAAACAAAACAAAAAGTCAGGCCTTTTAATTCATCTGGGCCTTTATTTAATTTGATTTCTTTCATTTGTAAAATTATACAACAACAAAGCTAATGTTTGTAACCCATGTTATGTATGTATATTTGTGAGTCTCTTTCTCTAATCATGTTAGTTTTTTTTATTTAAATCAATTTCTCTAGCTCATAGTAGTAGGAGATAACTTAACTACATGGTGTTGTTTCCATATTGTTTCAGGTTCATTCTGATTCTGGCAGTCCTCAATGAGAAGATCATAATGATAAAGGTTGGTGCACCTTTATAATGGTAGACTGTCGATTTTAAATTATAAATAAAGGATATATATATCGCCATGTAATTGTTATCGTTTAATCATTGACCTTATACTTCTAGTGGAAATAAACCAAATGGCCACGTCAAAGTTATACAATGTCCATGTGAATAAAATTTCAATCCTCTACGGGTCTTTCTTTATAATTCAAAGTCATTTTTCTATTTTCTTTCTTGGAATCCAATTCACAACGTTTTATCTCTTCTAAATCTGTAATAAGTACGCATATCATTTATTTTGGTTGGATTCACTCCATCATATACTTATTATAGTTAACTACCCTAAGCCTATCAAATGAATAACACGGACCTAACTTTGATTTTCACCTTCGTTTTGTTGGCAAGTCATCATGAATCCTTTGACTACAAGCCACTGGACAAGTGCTAACTGCACTGAAGTCTTTTAGAATCTTTTATCACTTAATTATGTTAATTAATGTTAAACACATTACTAGAGCTTGTTATTTGTAGAGAAACATAATTAGTCAGTCTTCAATAGATACAAAAATCATGAACATGCATATGATGTTAGTGGTGTGGATGAGTGTTTAACAATTTTTTTCTTAAACAAAACAGTTTCAACGAGAGGAAATCACTCACCACCCCAATCAAATATGACCATTATATAATTTATTTTAAATAATAAATATTCACAGCCATATGAAAAACAGTACACGTTAGGCAACAAATTAATAAAAACTCTCATCCGATGTTTACGCTACTTGAAAAAAACGCGAATCACATGGTAGATCTTGAAACAAACGTGTAGAACTACAAATCCACTCCATGTATATTTTCTTTTTAAAAAATATAAAATTACCAAACAAAACAAATTTAGCATCATTTAAAAAATTTTATTTATTAGAATTACCAAATGAACATAACTGAATTCAGTTACTCTTTAATTATGGCTATGAGAGGGATACAAAATACTAGAACTCTGTATTTACAGAACATATTATATGTAAATCATTAGATTAGTTATGGTGGGGATGTTTTCTAACTATATTATAATCTTGTGAAAAACGCGTGATGCCGCAGGGGAAGGAAGAAATATCTTACAGAAAGCAACAAGAGTAGTCTTCTTCTTCGTTCTCACCACCCACGTTTTCTTTATTTGCCGCTATTTTATCTCGTGGCCAAGAGAGCAATTATTATCAAAATAAACAAATACTACTCTACAGTAACAAGCTAATATCACGTGCATCAATTACACACAATACACTAGTGTTCACAACAAACTTTACGTTTTTTCTCTTCTTACAAAACTTTTAAAAAATAATTATAGAGTATATATACAAAGACAGAGAGAAGCAGAGTTGCAGAAGAAAGAAAGTACATAGAGAAAAACAAACTGTTTCGTAGACTTTTTATTTCTTTAGCTTTTGAGTTCTATAATTAATGGAGTGGATACGTCGAGAAACAATTGGTCACGGAAGCTTCTCCACCGTTAGTTTAGCCACTACCTCTGGAAGCTCAACATCCTTTCCTCCCTTGATCGCTGTAAAATCCTCCGGAGTCGTTTGCTCCGCCGCGTTACGTAACGAGAGAGACGTTCTTGATGATCTCGGCGACTGTTTAGAGATCGTGAGGTGTTTTGGAGAAGGAACAACGGTGGAGAACGGAGAAGAGGTTTACAATCTGTTTCTTGAGTACGCTTCCGGTGGAAACTTGCGTGATATGATCAAGAAGTCCGGCGAAGGGTTGCCGGAGTTCGAAGTGAGGCGGTTCACGAGGTCTATTGTCAAGGGACTGTGTCATGTCCATGAGAATGGTTTTGTTCATTGCGATGTGAAGCTTGAGAACGTTTTGGTGTTTGGTGATGGAGACGTGAAGATTTCTGATTTCGGGTTAGCGAAACGGAGGAGTGGGACGGTGGATGAGATCAGAGGAACGCCTCTGTATATGGCGCCGGAGTCGGTTAATAACGGCGAGTTTGAGTCTCCGGTGGATATTTGGGCGTTGGGATGGTGTGTAGTTGAGATGTTGAGTGGCAAAACGGCATGGTGTTTGGAGGAAGGGATCACGAATGTGATGTCTTTGATGGTTCGTATTGGTTCTGGTGATGTTCCGAAGATACCGGTGGAGTTGTCGGAGGAAGGGAAAGATTTCGTGAGGAGGTGTTTTGTTAAAGACCCGGTGGAGAGATGGACGGCTCAGATGCTTTTGGATCATCCGTTCTTAGCCGTTGATGATGATGATGAGAGAAGTAGTGGTTCAATAAGGTGTGGCGAAGGTGACAAGGTTTCGGTTTCGCCGAGAGATCCTTTTGATTTTCCTGATTGGAATTCGGTTCAATCTCCGGTTAATGATTTGGTTACGGTTTGTTCACCGGTTAGTTATTCGCCGTTCAGTTATTTTGTACGTTCCCCAGAGGAGAGAATCAGTGGGTTAGTCAGCATGAATGTACCTGATTGGTCGGTTTCGTGTGATTGGGTCAACGTACGTGAGGTTGAAGGGAGTATGGTAGTTTAATTAGTGGTGAAAGACCAAGTCTTGTGATGGAGATTATTTTTGGGGTTAATTAGAGAATTGACGGTCTTGGTTTAATCTTTTGTTAATTAGCTCGTTGACTATTGTAAATGAATATCAGATTAATTTTTGGAAGAACATATTTTGGCCATTTACACACTCTGCTGAGTCTTACACCAAATCACCAATCAATGTGTGTAACACTGATTCTTACTTTGTAGTGGATAAAAAGTTAGATTTGTTATTTGTCGATTTCATGAAAGTGTCAGACGTTGAAGGATAGAAAGTTTTTTTTTGTGCCACCGACTAAAGTAACCAAAATTTAGTGGACGCAAAGCTTTGTTTAAAGAACGTGCGAAACGTTCCGAGTGTAATGATGTAGAAGCAGCCATAAGATAGTTAATTTGGGATTAGAGAAGCCATGCATAGGGTAAAAAGCTGCCCTTGTTTCAGTTGGATTCAACAGACAGAGTCAGTGGCGAAATTGAGCTGGAAGGAGAGAGAGAATGTAGAGAGCCGTAGAATTTGGGCCCTTTAGGTCATTCTTTTTTAGACATTACAATTGTAGTAAGCCCGATAAAGCCATTATAACTGATTCTCGTGAGCTTTGCGACAGTGCAAACCAGTTTTGTGATAGCGTAGCGTCTCATAGTTTATAAAATAAATTTTGCTTATACGTCCTGCAATTTCTTGTCTACTTGTTGAGTATGTAAAAAATAGCAAAATTCTTAGCCAATGATCAACACAGAACATTAAAGTTGGACTTCTAACTATTCAGTTGAGGAGTATAAGTTGTGAACTTTTTATTCTGAGAGATGTTGGTGAATATCATTTTGAGACAATGTTGTAAAACAAATGATATCAACAACTCAGAAATATTGCAAATACTAAGTTTTCTTTTTAATACATAACTAAATCTGAGCTGTTTCAAAATTTATCAGTTCTACATTATGTTGGCAGTGTCAATGAAATACAATTTTTTTATATGAGTGCTGCTAACGAATTAGTGTGTATCAACATTCAAATTTGTTAATATAACTGTTTAAAAAGAAAAAAAAACATCTTAGAACATTATTGTCTGGTGCTTAGAAAACTTAATTTAGAAGCTTATCTATAATTTAGAAGCTTCAATACAATGCAAACATGATCAAGAAAATTTACATCACACAATAAACATACATAAACCTAACAATTACTTTATAATAAAAGTTCAGTCTTTTTTAATATATATCTAGTAGGTCCATTGACTAGTCTCTAGAGTTGGTGTTAACAACAACAAGGATTTATAGATAAATAGAGAACATTAGAAAATATGAAGAATGTTAAAAATGCATTTCCTTTGTTGCTTGTGACCTAAGAAACAAGAAGGCATAGATCCCCCAAGTTGAGAATGATGTTCAAGTAAGTCGATCTTTTATCTCAGGATGTTGTCCATCAAACGCAGCATGTTCTCCTACGGATGCCCAATATATCTCAACATTTATTAACATTGCCAATGTCTTTTAAAACTTCTTGAGAATTCAAAGGCAACCTTACCGGTTAGGTTTGCGTTAGGATGACCACCAGTGTTCAACCTCTGATGAGGAGCTAACCCGCCTTCTCGATTCATCTCCTTTCAAGAAACAAATACAATCATGTCAATTAAGCAAACTAGCTTTCAAAAGAATCTAAAAAGTTTCATAGAGTGAAAATGTGATAATTTAACTAAGACACACCACAGGTGGAGGAGTAAAGTGAGTGAAAGGTCCAAAGTGACTGCGAATGGAAGGCTCCAACGTGTATGAAGAAGGAGTCATGTTTATCATTTCCGGTGCATTAGAAGTCGAAGCAAATTGGTTGGAGGGGTTAAGCATAGGATCATTGGTTGTTTCTTGAGGTCTGATCTGCGAGAGTTGCAATGGGTGTAATGAAGTTCCAGGTAAGCTTAAAGGATGCAAGTTCATCCCATTCCTCATTGTCAACATCTGCAAACGTGTCAACATTAAAAAATGAGTAAATTTCATCATCCAAAAGACGAATACACTTAGTGAATCTTTAAATGACCTGAACTTGAAGCTGAAGCTGTTTCAGATACTCTATGGCTTCATCAAGCATTGATGCCTTATCAGTCTTCCCCCCCCCCAATGAACAAATTGCAATAGACATTATATATCAGAGACACAATAAGAAGTGAAAAGCGAGAAAGCATATATGTGTATAAACACTAATTACCTTATTTGAATTAGGGATGAGACTCTGTAGAGCTTTCATTTTTTCATTGATTCTACTTCTTCTCCTCTGCCATAACAAAAAAAAATAAAAATAACATAAAGTTTCTCAAGTAAAAGTTATGATGGTATCTAATTTTTTTTTTTGAGGGGAGACAAGACAAGAGAGTAGCAGTATAATAGTAGTAAACCTTTTCAGACAAATTATGAACTTCAGCAGCTCTGCACCTCTTAGATGAGCTACGAGACTTGGAGGAGGGAAGCTCATCATCAACCACCGCTTCCTGTTTTTTTTTTTTTTTTTTCCATTCAACCAAGTTAGCCAACACTCAGAGGGTCAGGTGTGTGCATTATTATTTAAACAAAACATTCAGATAATTAAAAGTGAGAAAATTAAAATAGTACAGATCCGTTACAGAGAGAATCACTGTTGATAATTTTGTCGGAAAACAGACAAGAGATAGAAACTTTTAGAAACATGCAGAAACTTAAAAAAAAAAAAGAAAAAAAAAGCAAACCTCGCTTTCGCAATCATACTCGTCCGTCTCATTGCCGCTAGCTCCAATGGAAGAAGACGAAACACGAGTCCCCGAACTGCTCCCTTGAGCAATGTTGTTGTTACCTCCGGTTAAACCATAATACGGTGCCGCGGAGCCGATTAAAACGTCAGAGAAATCAGCGGCGCGTTTCGACGGAAGGAAACATCTTGAGTTGTCTGCATGTGGGTCTCCTTGAACTCTTATCGCCGCCGTGGAAGCCGTGGTGGTGGTCATGGCCGGAGAGTAGTAAGAAGTTAAAGGAGAAGAACGGTCGAAAATATGCCGGAGAAACTGAGATATCTCGTCGGAAGATGACGGTGGATGGTTGTTGTTATTACTGTTACTACGGGAAGAAGAAGATGAAATCAATTTCTTATCTGCCATCACTCTCTTCTTCTTGTTTGCTTCTCTCTCTCTTTTGATATCATTACAGAGAAAGTAAGTAAACAATAAAAGCAGAGTTTTTGATTTTTATGGGCAAGGGAGAAGAGAAAAAATTATTATTATTAACTGTCACGCGCCAGCTAGGAGACAGTGGTTAAAATGATTGGACTGTCATTGATTTAAAGTTACCGTAGCTGTTACTGTAGCTTAAGCAATGAGCTTGTGTCTTCTCTCACGGTTTTTCAAACCAGAACATAAAGAGAGTTTGTCTTTTTTTGGGAAATTGGGCTATATAGCAAGAAAAAAAATCATAATTAGAGAACTAGCCAAAAACCCTCACAGACCTCTACACGCCGTTTCTTTTTTATATTAATACAATATTGCCCTTCAAATCAACCGGTTTCACCTGCACAAAATAAAAATTAAAAATTGTAAATCGTGGGTTATCTTCCTCCACAACTTCTTTTCACATATAGCAGTAATTCCATGGAAAGCTAAATGTCTCTTACAACAACACCATTGAACACGTTGAATCCGCCTCTTTATCCTCCAAATTTCACATCGTCGTCGTCATTATCACTTTCCTCTTCTACTTCGGTTCTTTAATCGGCACAGAGTCGCCGATGTATACTCTGCAGCGGCGGCGTTTGACAACCAGAGGAAACTTCTAAAACTCCAATCAACTTCAATCCATTGACAGACGGTAAGTTCTATGGTTTCTTCTCTTCATGTCGTTTTATTTTCAATTATATTTCTATTTTGTTATGAGAATTAGGTCTCTGAAACTCCCATAAATTCTCCTTATTTTCCGTAGATTCTCTTCACCGTCTCTTTGTCTGTGCAAATTCACTTTCTATTCTATTTGGCTTGGATGCGTTTCCATTTGATTGTGTTTTCTCTTCCATTTGAATAGTATGGTTTATGGTTTACTCGTTGTGTTTCGTACATTATAATTGTGTTTTCTTCGATATATGAATTACACAATATACGAATTTAATTTACTGTGTGGAATAGCAGTGCATTATGGTCAATTTGGTTTGTTGTATTGAATATCAGCTGCAATATAACTTGTCCGCGTGAGATCTTTTATGCATATTCTATTTGAAATAGAATAATATTATATGTTCAAACTATTCTATTCGAAATGGAATTGATTGATAAACTATTCTATTTGAGATGAAATTGCATGATATGTGTTGAATACACTACCGTTCTTCATCATTGTAATGTTTGAAATATAAAAGTTCGTTTCTATATAAAATACAATGGATTATTCAGTTATAACCATGTTTTCCTCTTACTTTGTTTTTCAAGTTTAGCAAGGAAGAATTAGGCCTTCAAGTAGATTGTTTGAGACATATTTATAACCATGTTTCCCTCTTATTTTGTTCTTCAGTTTGGCATGGACTCAATTGTGGTGAAATAGTTGACTTTTACTGACATGAAAAGACTAAGGTCTTGCGAGGGAAGAGAACCGGAAGAGGGTTTAATCTTGTTGTTGTTGTTTCATGTTTTATTGATATAAATTTTGTATCAGTACATATATATATGTTTTATATTACTGTATGTATGATTTTGTAAAGAGAAACAATATATTGGACGTAAAAGGAATAGCATTTATTATGACATCAAATAGAATAGAATAAAATGCGATGTTGAATGGAATGATATTCATATGATGTTGTCTATCTATTTTGTTTCATTCTATTTGGATTTAGGGTCTATACTTGGGTTTATGGTTTAGTGGTTAGGACTTAGGGTTTAGTATTTGGAAAGAGGGGGGGTTGAGGTTTGGGTTTAGTAATAGTAGCTTAGGGTTTAGTATTCAAAAGTTAAGCCTGGTTTAACATATATGAATTGTGTGTTGGGTTTATTAATGTGATGTGTCATTCTTTTCTTACGGTAGTTGTAAAGAAGTGACTCTTTTCTTAAGGTAGTTGTAAATAAGTGGTTCTATGTTATTTATTATGTTCCATTCTATTTGGGTTTAGGGTTTATATTTGGATTTAGATTTTATATTTGGATAAGGGTTTAGTGATTAATGTTTAGGGAAAAGTGCTTAAAGTTTAGGATTTAGTATCTAGGAATTGGTGTGGGGATATATTTATTATTTAGGGGTTGTAGATGAATAATGCTATACTATTTCGATGATATAGAATATAATGTTTGGGACATATGTACGTGATCAATAAAGGTTTACGTGGATAGTTTTTTTTTCTTTTATTTAGAATAGTTTAAGATGTTTGAACTACTAAGTACTATGTTATTTATTTTGTTCCATTCCATGTGATGTCGAGTTTATATGTGGGTTTAGGGTTTATATTTTGGTTTAGGGTTCACTTAGTCGAGATTAGGGTTTAATATTTAGTGGTTGTGGTGGGATCAATATTACCTTCTTAGATGCATACGTTATTGGTCATCTTTTTATTTTGTCAACCGTTCGACATTTTCTTGTAACATTCGTGCCTTCCATTGGGAATGGAATAGTAGTAGCCGAAGTCATTCTATTCTACATGAAATGGATCAGCCATTTCGTATCTCATTATCCATTGCGTTGCGTTTTGTTCCATTCCATGTGCTGTATAGTTTATATGTGGTTTAGTGTTTATATTTGGGTTTATGGTTTATATTTTGGTTTAGGGTTCACTTATTGGAGATTAGGGTTTAATATTTGAGTTTAAGGATTATATTTGGTTTAGGGTTACTGCTTAAAGTTTAGGGTTTAATATTTAGAGGTATAGGTAGGATCAACATTAACTTAATAAATGTAATCACACATATTTGATAATTGAACTACAAAGTACTATGTTACTTATTTTGTTCCATTCCATATGATGTCGAGTTTATATGTGGGTTTAGGGTTTATATTCTGGTTTAGGGTTCACTTAGTCGAGATTAGGGTTTAATATTTAGTGGTTGTGGTGGGATCAACATTACCTTCTTAGATGCATACGTTATTAGTCATCTTTTTATTCTGTCAACCGTTCGACATTTTGTTGTAACATTCGTGCCTTCCATTGGGAATGGAATAGTAGCAGCCGATGTCATTCTATTCTCTATGAAATGGATCAGCCATGGGAATTTTGTATCTAATTATTAGATCGGGTGGTCTTGAAATGGAACTTCCTGTTTATTGCATGTATGGCCATTTTACTTCACCTATTTGAATTTTGATTGATCAGATGTTCTATAAGTGAACCCTAGATCTATCTTTTATAATCCTACTTTAATCACAACCTACCACAACACCACAACTTACTGACACAAGTCCTTACTTTAGTCCACTAGATGACTTGTGTACAGTTAAAATATATTTACTAACTCTTAAACATTTACGTGGTTTCCTCTTCCTCTTTAATATGGAATAGCTGTTTTGCAATGTAGGTGGTTACTTACTAACCCACCTCCAATACCCTTATGTAGAAATTGATCCTTCAAATGGAATATAATCTGATATGGTAAACTACATAACAGTGTGGAATAGTTCAAAACGAGATAGCATGACACTGCTAATATACTGGATAATATACTCAATGCTATGTGGAATAGTACAACAATGGAATAGAATAATACATTGTACTACTTTACATGTACTATTTAAATTTGGATAGATCAGATGGTCTATAAGTCAACCCCAGTTATATGGTTTATAATCATTTATACCCCTACTGTAATCACAACATATTATAGTTATTAACATGCAACATAGTATAGTTATTCATGTAAGTTATGAACATAAAACATAGAATAGTTATTCAGCAAAGTAGTATGGAATATATGTATTGGATGTAAGTTCAACACGCCGTTACGTGAATATAGTTTTGATCTTGGGCAAGTACTTTATTTTTGTTGAAGTCATGTCTCATCGAGCTTCACAAGTTTCGTGATTCAACAATTCCACAGAAAACCTCCACGTCTTTTGCTTTACACCATGTGACTGTCTACCTGTTGGTGGAGGGGGTAAAACCGGGTAAAAATAAGGCTAAATGCTAGACACTGCATTATGTATATATCATAGCTATATACTTAATTTACTTCCCAAATTTGGCTATCTCACCAATTAGCCCCTTTTTTTTTTCCATTTCCCAAAACTATTCCTCGTCGCACGTGAGACACACAACTAAAACTAGTACTAGCAGTAAGTTTTATTTTATTTATTTGGCAAGGAATGATAGAAGCTTTATATGCTCTCTCATAGCCCATTGTTTAATATAGAAATCTGTTTAACAAATGCATATCTTCGGATGGGTTGAAACTTATTTAATTGAGGTTTAGATTGAAAAAAATGGATTTTCTATGTCTCACAGCGTTGATTTTGATGGGGAAGTTTTGAACAATTCCATTAATTTATAGATACTGAAGTCATACGTCTTTTGTGTGTTTGACAAAACAATTTTCCATCTTTAGTAATTTGAAGGACGACAATTCCAATTCTTACTTGTTACGAAACACAAACGAATTTGTATTAAAAATGATGTTTAATTTTGTAACATGGAGTATTAGTTCTTTGTCCAAGAAAATATGGAGTATTACATTTTTTTTTTCTTATTTTTAATATGGAGTATTACTATTTCTCATTTGAAAATTACAACTCGTGGCGTGATAAAAAAGAATACATTATAGTTGGTTGTTGCTCTTTTATTCTATAGACTTTAAGCCCATGCCACTGACATATGCGTTAAATTAACGTGCGACTTTAAATCAGTTCTTGTATTGCATGACGAATAGTGAAAATTATAGAATTTGCGGTTATAATTCCACGTTCACTGTATTTGTGTAGAGGCAAACAAAGCGAATGCACCGAATTGTCCAATTGCGTTCTGGCACACCGATTTGGACAATGGACACACTTTTTATCATTCAAAATATAAACATCTATGCAAATATAACTTTTTGGTAATTTATATTTATAAATATAATAAATTTCTCTTCTTACTCTTCAGCGTATATCAGCTTATAAAACTAATTCAAGTTACATAACTCGTACCGTTAGAATTTAC